CCCGCGGCTACCTGGGGGACAAAGAAGGGGCTGGGACCACCTCTCTCCTTCGAGCACTGCTCTGTGTTTTCTCTCGGTTCAAAGGCGGGGGGGTGGAAAGCCGCTCCCCAAGCAGTTGGAGGCTTGTGGAGATCTCACTGGCCCTTGCAGGGAGAACCGTGCCGTGACCTTCGTTGTTCAGATGGTGCCAGCTTTGGTCTGGGCATCTCGGTGGTTTCTGGGCGTTGTGTAGCATGGCGCTGCGAGCACCTGCCTGCCCGGCAAAGGCACCCAGCGGTCCCCACGCAGCTCTCCCAAGCACCGGGGTGCGGTGTGGGCTGCTGGGTCTCCCACGCACCACTCGGGGAGATCCCTTTCATAGCACATCCTAGTCACAGAGACTCTGGTCGCTTCCAAATTCAAGTTTTCATCACGCCGTCATGACAACATAGGCCAGCTTCTGGCTCTGGGTACTTCTGAATCTTGTTTTCTTTGGCTAGGGAAAAAGACTTTGCTGTGCACTTGATGTAACTCTTGGGTTTACCTCCTAGGGGACAGTCAAGACAGTCAAACATCACACAGCCTTCTGACAGCTGCTAGTGTAGCAAAAAATATGTATGTTTTCCTCTGCTTTGCCAACTCTGAAAATTAGGTGACACTTGATGGACGTGCTTGTTTTTGTGGTATGAAAGCTTCTCAGTGCTGAGTGCTGTGAGGAGAAAGACTGGATTGCTCTCGGGGGTTTCTCTCTTCTAAGTGTGCATATGGATTTTATTTAGTGTTGTAAGGTAGGTGTGGTCATCATACTGAATTTATTAGCTTAATGAACATTAGGGAAGCAAGTACATATTGAAATTATTCTGGTCTCTTAAACTGCTATTATTAGTGAATGCAATTATACTTTGAGGGAGTTACAAACGCCTTCTCAGCACTGCAGCACACCTTTTTTTTTCGGTGGAGAAGAACTTCATTTTGTGCGCATCTTTATTTCCTACAGTGGGACTCAAACTTCTTTTAGTTTGGAACTTTATATTAGGAAATTTCTCTAATGGTTGCTTTTGTTTTACTCACGCAGGCAGTGCAGCCTGAGGAACTTAGCTCCCCCAGTCGATGTGAAAGTAAGAGAAACCAAGGTGCAGCAGATGAAGGAGAGGCATTGAGGTCAGCTGCTGGAGGCAACAGTGTCACCTTGAGCTACCCCAGCCCCCATCTCCATGCGTACAGCATCAAGAGCATGACAACGTTTCCGAATGGCTGTGGAAATGGCAGCGCCGTTACTTGCATAGTTATGGAAAATAAAGAGACCCAAAACCAGACTACCTGTGTCAGTCATAATGAAGGGTACAGCACCAGCAACAGTCACGAGGAGGAAATTCAAGAGGATAAACTCAGCCCTTCCAAAATCATGCGCTTTTTCACTACCCCTCGGAAACGGGCTAATTCCAGCTCTGACAGGCCTCGTTCTCTGGTTTTGATGGGCAACTCATCCACGTGGAATGCTTTGTCTTCCATCAGAAAAATGGGATCTTTCAAGAAGCTGAAATCTTCAGTTCTCCAAGGAATTCAGGCAAGGGAATGCTCAGACGTGTTAAATGATAATGGTGTAGGCAAACATAGTTCAAACGGGGCAGTGGTGCAAGTTCAGGCTAACAGGTATTCCTATGCAGGGCCTCTGCATGATTTCCAGAGCGCAGTGGATGGTTTAGCTTCTGACTGCTCTGATGTGGAGGAGAGCGACGAGTCCTTCCTGAGGAATACTCATCGCTCACGCAGCATCAGGAGGGCCTACGGTGCTGGACGCATAAACTTGCTCGACACGGATAAGCTTCAGAGTCATCACAACTGTACGAGGCCAACGTCCCCTGTCATTGCAGAGCCAAAGATATGTGAAATTTTGCTGAAAGACCCTGAAAACAACAGGATCATTTATCGGAGAAGCAAAAGTTCAGATAATTTGAACTTTCTGAAAAAAAGCTCCTTCAAAAGGAAGTCCACCTCAAACCTCAGTGACCTCAAGGTTGCAAATGAAAAAGAGATGCCAGCAAGGACTGTGAGTGTTACTTCTGCTGACTCGGACAAAACCGGAGGGAACCCTGAGAGGAGATCCAAGCGATGGAAGAGCCCTATCAGGGCAAAGGATTTTGACCGAGTTTTGAAACTTGTCAGTAATGTTACAGATGTTGCGTGGAAGAAGGATGGTCCGAAGAGCACGGCTCCTCCCAGTGAACAGTCCCTGAGAACAAGGTCAAACAGCAGACTGCACGATGACTACTCCCGCAGGGTTTCCAGCAGCACAGATCATGACAGAAAGAAATGCACCTCCCCGGTATCTAGCCCAGAGTCTTCCTTGCCAGGAACGCCTTGTCTGCAAAGCCCTGCTGTTGCTCAGGATAAAGAGGCTGAAGCAAATGTAGCTGTTGCTGTAGACAAAAGCCTCAGGACGTCATCTGGTATCCCAGACTCTGATAGCTTATCACCCACGCTGAATGACATTAGTCCATTTCCCAATGAAGTGTTTTATTCGGACTCGGATGAACCAAAAGCTAGCCAGCAGTTTACATATGAAGCTGAAAACCCTCATGTTCCAGTCAGACCGACTACTCCAAAGCCTCAAAGTCCCACTGCAGAGAAGGTCAAGTGCAATATGAATTTCCAATGCCCAGACCATCACAGCACGTTGTCACTGTGCTCGTCAGAGAGTGAGGAGAGAGCTGAGGTACCAGGGCTGAAGCTGGGCAGGAATCCTGTTTGCTTCCAAGACTCAGTGCAAACTGTGTTCTATGATGATGGAAACGAAGACAGTGGCATAAGCAGCCACTCTCAGCTGAGCCTCAATTTAGCCTCTGGTGCTGAAGAGAAAAAGGAAGAGGTAAGAAAGCAAGCAAAATCCTTTGGAACCTATATATAGCTCTGTCAATTTTTGTCTTTTTGGATACAAACAATGCAAAATTACTTGAATGCTCATGGCTTTTGCAGCTTGTTACTGCTAAAATATGCTGACAGCAATTATTTCCTTTCATATATTTTGTTTGGATGCTAGCGTCAAATTACTTTTTCCTTCTGCATTAATATCAAAGCAAGTTTTGACAGCAAAGCCATTCATGTACGTTTTCAAGGGCAGCTTATTGCACCCTGCAGATAGGTAGACCACCTTGTCATGTGGTCTTGCCAGATTTTCCAGCCTAAGCAGGGTCTGGCTGTGGTTCCTTCCAAGCTGAAGAGTCTCTCAAGAGTCTGTATATTTTGAAGTAATGTTGATTCAGTGTAAAGCACTTTGCCTGTGGAAGTCTTGCAGAGCATGGCAATATTTGTAAAGCAGTGCAGCGTGAAAGGCACAGTGCAGAGCTGTAAGTGTTCAGTTTTATCTGATGTTTGCAGTGTGCGGGGATGGCCATGCTGAGCCTAAACCTCATTTATTTGTCCGCCAATTTCAAACAGCAGTACTTTAGGTGCTAGGTTGAGTGTGTTGTCACTAATGTTTTGCTGAAGACATGCTTTGCTGCACTTAATGCATAATTTCAAACTGTCAGTAGATGGGTAGACAGATGCATTGCAGCACCTTTGAGGTAAGTTCACATAATAACCTCGTGCCCTTACCTAAAGCACCGTGTGAGTTGGCACTGGAGCAGTTGCAATGATTTGGCAGTGTTGGTGAAGAGTTGTCAGACATATCCTGCACTCCTCTGAAGGGGCATGGCTCACCTCAGCCCCAGCTGTGTACAGTAAAGTGATTTTGAGCTGCTCAGGGTGAGGCAGCAGAGAGGAGGGCTTGCTTCTCGTTGGGAAAAATACATCGAGGCAAAAACCACTCTGGATCTGTGTCAATATGGAAGACATTTATGAAATAAAGCTGACAGATCTCTTAAGCCACCTCAGTTTAACTAAAAGGATCTTATACCTCAGGTATGAGATAGACAAAGGCAATTGCTGAAGTTGCACAAACTTCAACCTTTAATGCTGTAAAACCTTATGATGTCTGTGAAGCTGTCTTTTAAAAGCCTGGCGTTGTTTTTGCAAACTAACTGTAAATGGTTACAGAGCTTATCCATATTGTTGTTCTGGAGAAAAGCAAGTTTGTTTACTGTAGTGCTTGCAGCAAGATTGGAAGAATAAACCCAATGTGTATAAATATTTGGTCTCTGAGGTTATTCCTCTTCTAGAGACCCAGAATTGCTCCAGCCATCCATCTTGTCCAAAACTCTCACTTAGGAGTGTATGCAACTCTTTTATGATGCTTGCACACAGAGCTCTAGTATGGTCAGTTGGATTTCTCAGGAATAAAATGGGAGGCAGAATGAATGCTACTCATCTACCATCTAGTGGTGATCTGCCATCATGACTCAAGAGAAATTCAGCTAGTCCCTCCCCTTGGCTCCTGACAAACCAGTACAGTTTTTAAATGAATGTGTACATTGGGTGGATAAAAGTTACTGCAGTTTTAGTTTTAATGCCACATTCTGTTATTATCTAACATGCAATTTAAACTTTCTCTTCATATTATAATATATTTTAGGTTATTTGTGAATGAATTTTAGTGCTCACTTCAGTTGTTTGAAGTACAGAGTGTGCACTGGTGGCAGCTCTGGGTTTGTGTGGTGGGCAGGTGGCTGGTGTGGGATGGAGCCCTGCAGGAGATGGAGGAAACGGTGGCCAGGGGATGGATGGACTCCTTGGCTGGTAGGGCAGCAGCGAGGGGCTGTACCCCCCTTCCCTCTGATGTGCACACTGCCTGGAGCCACTATGTGAGGCAAAACAACTGTGGCCACCCAAATGGTGCAGCTTGCATCCAGACCTCTTTCTGATCCAAAGAAGCAAAAGTTTCTGGATGTGGTAGCTGTGGATTGGAAGCAGGAGCTGTGCAGGACAGGATTTACTTCTGTCTTACTGTGCAAGGGGTGTATACTCGGTCTTGTTATTCCCCATCCCTGTTCCGTATCCTATACACAACCCTAAAGCAGTGGCACTCAGAGTGATTACAAAACAGGGAGAGTGGTATGGTTTCTCTCTACTATTTCCTCAGAGAGTTTCATTGCTAATTTCCTCCTCCTCTGCAGCATGCTTCCTTCACTGTGATTGTAGCTTGGGTACCAAAGATACTATGCCAGGTTATTTTTTAATTGGAGCTTATTCAGCCCGCAGGCACTTTTATGAATGCCTCATACTCACACAGTGAGGTCACTGAGTTTGAACTTTTGACTACATTTAATTTCTAACTCTAACTCACACATCCATATTGCAGAACTGCACCCAACCAGCAAGTTGTTCCTGTGACAGTCAAGCACTTAATTCCTTCTCAGCAATCATTGAGATGAGCCATGTAAATCCCAAATTTTTAAGATTTTATCTGAACTTTAAACACACTGTTTTGATGGACAAATCTGCAGTTTCCGTGTTTAATGCAAGATTTTTTGGTAGGGATTTCACATAAAAGCCAGTATGTATTCTAGTATACCCACTAAAATCTCTGTGGCTTGGAGACGTGTTTCAGTACAAAGCTTACAAGGTACTAAGCAGTCAGGCTCAGACCTGTTTTCCTTTCAGGACTGGTTGCCATAGCTAGAAGCAAATCTAGTTTATTCCCTTACCCACTCATCTAGTAGATTAGTTGGCAAATGAAGTCTGTGGGACTTGGTCCACCTCTGTATTTTCCCAAATGGGGAAACTAAACATTTCTCCTTTGTGTTCCTGCAACACTGTTAAGCTGATTCTGCAGTATTCACAAATAAATGGACAGACATCACACAAGGATGTCTGTCCATTTACCTGCATCGATATTTTGGGGTTTTCGCCCCCTATCTGATTCAGGCTTGAGATCCTGTCACTTCTGTCATTTTGTTGGTTTCCCCAAAATGCCAGATTTGGGCTGAAGCAGGGGTGGTGTTTGGCTGTCTCTGTTGTTTGTCCTGCCAGAGAGTTTGCTTCCCAGAGAAGAGCTAATTAAGTGCAGCCTAGTTCTGTGCCTCAGCATGAAGCTACAGAGCTGTGAGTGAGTCATCAAAGCTCATCTGTGACAGCCCATGCTTTATGCCACTGTCACTTACGTTCAGTAGGTTGCTTTTAAATATATCAAGAGATAATTAAGTACAAGTTTGTATTTGGACTGTTTTGCATAGTCTCTACTTTGCTGAAGAAGAGTCCTGTGTCACTTCAAGCAACAAAAATGTAAACTCTTAGGTTTGGACTGGCATGTGTCAGACACAAAGGCGGTCTAAATAAAACACTGTTCTGAATTTGTTACAAAAAAAGACAAATCAAGTTATTTAATGTTTCATCCAGTCTTTCATAAGCTCTTAGAGCACCTGCTCTTTATGTTGCCTTGCTGGCATTTGGCTTCACAGTCCACCAGACATTTTATTACTGAAATACCTTATCTTCATGACTATAAGTGAATGATAAATTACAGTAAAGAGGTAACTCTGCCTCTTCTACCCTAATTAGGGTTGAGTCACATTTTGTAGGCAGTATTTTAAATTCTCAGAGACATGTCTGTTAACTCGTTTATGTTTGTGCTGTGCAAAAGCCAGTGGTCCCAACTGATCCACACTGTGCAGTCAACCAGTGCTCAGCTGCTGGCAGGGTTGAGCTCTGTCCCACACAGCTTGCTGGGTTCTGTATATTGAGGACAGATGTTCTCAACCTAGGATGTGGTTTATGGAGGCAAAGAGGAAGACAATCTGTATGAGTGTGAATATGGAAAGGTTTCATCTCTGCCCTCACTGTTCATCCTCCTTATTTCTTCCTTCAGAAAGTTTCCTCACAGTGGAGGAGCAAAGCATAGAGGCTGTGGTTCGATACTTACAAGGAGCATGCAGCAGCCAGGAGCTGAGCATGGGCATTGTTGGTACCTACCACAAGCTCCTGAGTGCTGTGGGGCTGGGCATGAGCACACATTCTGGGAGCTAGCTGGTTTCAGCTCTCTAAACAGTTCTTTTTGGATTTATTCACCTCTGGGTCATCCACATGCAGTTTAGAGTGTGGCTTAATCACTTTAATCTGCATAACTGGAAATGTGCTAAACTGTGAAGGATAATTAGGTAAAGTAAATAAGGGGGGAACTTCTTAAACTGGGTTTTCTCCTATAGGGTTAGAGATTTGGAGTGAGGGCTTACCACTCCAGTGGCACTCTGATCTTGCTGGCTACGGTGCATGGGGGCAGAGGAGCAGAACACTGTAATGGACTTTCTACAGCATCTCTGACACCCAACTGAGGTTTCGGTTAGACTGAGTGACATTGGATTTACACTAAACCCTATGAGCTGCTCTACAGAAGTCAGGATATATTCACACAGTGTGTCCACAGTTGCTCAAAGAGTGACTTCCAGGAAGGCTTGCCAAGAGCTAAAGCAGAAACCTTTAGCTGCCCATTGCTACAAACCCAAGGCTGCTCCCCTCCCCTGCTGCACTGGTGCTCCTCTGCCTTCCTAGAGTGTGGTATTTGGCTGCTGTAGCTCCCTTCTGACACCTCAGTAATACCCAGGTGCTGCTTACCCTGGGATAGGAGTAATAGTACTCCAGAGGGTGGAACAGCACTTCTGGCCATGTAATATGATTTTTACATTGAGCATGGTGTTGGGTTGTCAGCACTGAAAGTGCATCTCCGTGCTACGAGGTTGCAGTGTCCAGACTGAGCAGAGGCAGCTGCAGCTTCCTCTGAGATAATCTGTGTTTCCCCTTTCTGGCATCCGGAGGCTGCTGTGCTGCTCCTGGTACCAGGATGCTGAGCAGGATGCTGTGGCAGGCTAGGAGAATGGCCGGGTGCTGGACGAGCCAGAACACAGCAGCTTTGAGTCTTCCTACACCAAGCTCAACCACAGCAGCCTCACCCTTACTTCATGCTCTAGGAAGTACTAGTTTGCAGACATGGAGTTG